CTATACTCTAACAATGTGATTTTAGATTTTGGTGATTTTTGGTAGACATGATTTTTTAGGAAATGTCTAAAAGATAGACAATTCGAATCGTTGAAATACATTATAGAGGGACCCCACAAAAACTTGTGTAAAAAAATGGTGCCATGTTTTTTACACAAATTTCGTAGCACCATATTTTTTACACAAATTTTGACACAAGTTTCAAACCATCAAATTTGTCCAGTTTTAATGGTTGATATGCAATCTCAAATGATATTTAATTTGACATAATTTTTCTAATAAATATATACCTTAGAAGTATAAGTAAAAATCCAAAATTTTGTTAATTATAACTTTGATTCTCTCCCCCACCCCCCCCCCTCTCATTCTATCTTGTATTCCCCTTGCTTCCCCTTTTCTCTTATCCCCTCTTCTATTCTGAAAATTTTCTCCAACTCAATGTTCAGATCATCCAGTCAATTTCAGCATAAGTCTTTCTTCCACACAAAAGCTTCGTACCCATGGAACACATTACTACTATGGCGCTCTTGACTCTTGTAACTACTTCATTTTTATTCACACCCTTACAGGATTCTTTGTGGCCTTAGAATAATATTTTTTAATAACACTCTGAAAAAAATTCCAGTTTCCTCTAAGGATACTTTATCACCACCACGACCACCATCAAGTGGTTTTGGGTTTGTTTCTAGAGATCAAAGGTGTTGAGGACTATATTACTCTAAAACCATCAAATTAAGTGTGAATCTAATCATTTAGTACTACGGTCTAGTATTATTTCCTTTCACTTGTAAGAAATAGGTCTTATGTTCAATTCTCGTTAAAGGCGAATTTGAACCACATTATTGCTAGCCCATTGTGAGGCTTATCTTACCCCCCCTCCCCTTTAGTTGTAGATAATATTGTTTGTTCAAAAAAAAAATTGTGAATCTAAACCTTAAAAAATTGAAACAATAAGTGGTATCTATTTTATTGGTGCAGCCAAGGTTCTTAAAAACGCTAGTCGGACGGCAGGTTGGGGCTTAGCATCTAGGCGGCTAAGCGGGGCTAGGCGAGGGCCTAGGTGGACTAGGCGAATTTAAGTAAAATCTATTATATATCATATAAATAAGTGTCTTCTTATACTTAAAAATACATATTTGCATTTGGATACATAAATTGCAAAATATAATGACATATAGATCATAAAGTAGGCTTGTTTTATTAACACCCCACATATTATTGAATACACTCCACATACTTAATACATCTCATATTTTTTTTTTTTGCAATTAAAATTTATCTTAATACACCCCCCCGCACACGTACTATTCCATACTACCCTCACACCCACACCTTAACATACACTCTCTGGAATTCATTTATTTCTATCAGGATGACTTACTTTGGGTTTGGTGCATTTCCCACATTTCTACATACCCCACACTCTACTCTACATATCATGGAAATATTTTTTTTTAGCCCACCCCATCCTCCAGCAAGAACCAGCCACACGCTTTGGTTTTGAGGCCTTTGTCTTGCTTCTTTGAGCCAAACAACCGACTAGTAAGACTAAGGGGTTAATTGATTTGGTATGGAAGATTGATTTGATTGAAGGAATCAGATTCAGAAAGACGGAAATTGCCAGTGGAGGAATATGAAAATGGGGACAAAAGTTGGGTTAATTAACTGAATATCAATTATCTGGGTTAATTGACTGAATATCAATTATCAATGTGAAGTTTATTTGATTTTGGATTAAGATTCTCCTATGAATAATTTTTTCAATCAACATGTTTGTAGTTTCATTGATTATGGTTTTGTTTTCCAACTGAGAGTGAAAATAGTTTTGAGAGTTAAAAAAGATAAATAATCTTGAAATGTGTAATTTTGGGGTGTATTTAGAATTTTTTTTTTCATAACCTTATGAAGTCGAAATAGTCATTGCATATTAGGGCATGTAAGTAATTTAATATTAAATTTTAATATGGGGTGTATTCAACATTATGTGAGATGCTAATAAAAAAAGCCTATAAAGTATTAGAACATAATGAAAACATGAGGAACAATCATATAATGTTTGTTAATCTAAGTATTCAACAAGTCTTTTACAATTTATTAAAAAAACAAAATGCAAAACAGAAAGTTATCTATTTTCTATCTAAGTGAGAGTTATGACCAAGACGGAGTGCCTAGGCGGGCTAGGCGGGCATCTAGGCGCTGTTTCTTTATTTTCAAACGGCTAGGGATTAATCGGGATGGTCATCAACTACCTAGAGTCTACGCGGCGCTAAGCGGAGATTTTAAGAACTGCGGGTGCAGCAAGATATTACCATCATGATCAAGATGGGGAAGAAATTTGATAAAAAAACGAAAAATTTGGTATAAAAGATAGCAGGGGAATGAATGAAGAAGAAAGAGTGAGGGAAAGGGATCGTAAATGAAAAACAATTAATGAGATAGGAGAGAGAATACAAAATCTTACTTGAAAGGTTTTTAAAATTTTATTTCCAATACAAAATTACGTGAATAAAGAAAATTAATTGGACTAAATAGATTGCATCTCAATCGTTAAAAGTGGACTAATCTAATGGTTTAAAATTTATGTCAATCCTTGTGTTTTTTTTTTGTGCCACGGATGCTCTCTCTCTCTCTCTCTCTCTCTCTCTCTCTCTCTCTCTCTCTCTCTCTCTATATATATATATATATATATATATATATGGGCGTGGCAAGTTCTTCGGTTTATTACTACTATTGACGTATTAAGTATTGAAAAGAGATGAAACCATGTTAAGTTACAAATGAAATATATATAGGAAAATACGATGTTATGTATATATACCTGAGCTTTCTTCTCGGTTGAACTGTGCTTCCAAAGTATCCCAAGCAGCTTTGGCGGTGGTTTTGTCACGGATCAAAGGAAAAGTACGCGGCCCGCAAGAAAGTTGGATTGCATGCAAAGCTTCGGCATTATTCTTCCTCCAAGCCTTAAACTTAAATTCCCAAACACCTTCCTGTTCAAGGGGTTCACTGGCTCTTTCAACAACGTCCCAAAGATCTTTAGAGAGCAGATAGGTTTTGACGCGGACACTCCAATCCTTATAATCGTGTTTTCCGTCGAGAATTTGAGGAACAATTGCAGTACTAGACGTAGCTGCCATGCTTCTCAATCTGTCAATTTTTCCAAACCATATTTTGTTAGTTTAGTTCACATGATACGTGTATGTGCGTGTGAAAACAAAGAAAGAAATAGTGAACCAAGTATAAGGAATTAACTCTACTTACAATTGAAATGGGGAAGCCTTCAGAAAATGCTTCAGCTTGAATTGGTGATCTATAGCATTGCTGCTGCTAAACCTGTATCTAATATATACTATACAGTCAACAAGAAACAGATAATTTGGTCTCCTTTTTATATACGAAGTTTGCCCTTTATTTTATGGATAGACGTGTTAACAAATCAGCAGATATGCCCGTTCATATTATAATATTTTCATTTTGTTTTAATTGTCTTTCCAACAAGAGTAAACAATGACTTGAGTTATTTTATCTTGACTGAGAATATGCCCGTTCATATTAGCAATGACTTGATATGTTATGATACTTTCATTTTTAATTGTCTTTCCAACAAAAATAAACAATGACCTGAGCCAACTGGTGTTGATTAAGAAGATGCCCATTCATATTGCACTTGCCATTGATCAAGATATATAACCAAGCGATGGAAGAAATGTCAGTGACCAACATAAAGATAATTGTTCGAAGATAATTTTTGCCTTCGATTTGAAAAATCATGTTCGAATTTGATTTGGGAATAAGTTAGTATCGTATATAGCTATAGTATTTTGATATAATAGTACTTCGCTTTCACTTGTAAGCGAGAGATATTAAGTTCAATTTAGATGATTAGTTCAATGCTATAATATTATGTTGGGCCCATTCGTTGCTTAATTCCAATATGCTCATCACAATGTGTAGAATATCTTTGTACAAAAAGTTTAAACATTAGTAAAGTAAATTTGTGCAAATCGTGAACTGTACTAATGATATAGATATTTTCCTCTTCTCAACTGCTATTCCAAATGGTATTTAATAATGAGAAAAACCAACGAAAAGTTCAAAAAAAACTTTAGTTTTAATGAAAAATGACAAATAAAGGTGTAGTGAACAGTACTAGGAATGTTTCGTGAAAACTCCCTTTATAATGACTCTATTATCAAATTCAAGGTATTTCAAGGTCTTTAATTCCTATAGGACCATTTCATTCCAACACTCACATTGTAACGACTTGTTCCCAATTTTATAGTTTATATACTTTTAATAAGTGAAGTTACAAAAAATGCCCTTTGAGGCAAAGTGTTGACTTTTGTTGACTGCCGTGTCGTGTCACGTAAGGTTCGTTTTCTTGGCGTATTCTTGTAGTATTCATCGCTACGGACGTGTGGGCACAAAAGGAATGCAATTTGGAGTTATAACGAAAAAGTTATTAACGAACGAAGTTAGGAACTAAATGGTCAATTAATTATTTCTAGAAGGCTCCATATTTTGAAGCAAAATCTGATTGAGCCACGTGTGTGGCCCAAATTAAAGGAAAGAAAGATGGGCAGTGGAGATGGAAGATAAAGGAGAGATAAGGGAGGGAAGTCGGCCAATAAGGGAGAGAGAAGAAAGGAAGTGACCAATCAGAAATGGAAGAAGGGAGGAAAAGGAGGGAAGGTGGGAATGAAGGGGAAATTGGGTTCCCCTTGACCTGCGCCATCCAACCCGTTTTCTTCATATTTTCTTGTGGTTTTCCATCTGATTTCCGGCAAATTGGACCGATTTATCAAGCCCAATCATCATCCCGCTACTTTCCCTTCCATTTCCACCCACAATTAGGAAGAAATTGGTGGTATTTTAGGGGAAAATGGATGGTGGTCCGTGTGAGTGAATGGCGGCGATCCGCAAATTGTGAAGTTAACTTAGCAAATTACCACCACTAATAGACTCCTCTCAACCCCATGAACAAAGCCCAAGCAATTTTTAAGGCATTTGAGTGAGTTTGGAGGTCGAATCAAACACACCCAAATCTAAGGGTTTCGGCGGATTTTCGTGAAATTGGGGCTTTTCTCGGCCAAATTGGCCTTAGTCACAGGTATGAAAGTTGCTCCACTCATTGAGATCTTCATTTCTGTGAAATTTGAGAATGTTTAGAAATAGTTGAATTTTCTGGCAAGTTATTCTTTTTTTTTTACTTATTTATTTTATTTATTTATTTGTAGGAATTTTATATCTTTATTTCCTTCTCAACAAATAATTTTTTAATCGATAAAATGAATTTTTTATTTTAGATTAATAAAATAACTGCAAAATCCGATCCAATTTATTGTAATTGATTAGTTAACATTTGGTTAAAATTTTTTTAATAGAGTAAAAACTATCGACAAAATTCTAGATAAGGAAGCCTTTGTTATGAAATTGAGCACAATTTTGAGGAATCATGCATCTTTTTTTCCGAGTTATAACGAAAAAATGCAGTTGGTCGTACCACCTGGGCAGATTCATCGAATTTTGATATTATCGACCGATTTGTGCATATATCGCTTGCCACCGGCTGCGGCCCGTGGCCAGTGGGCCGCCAATGGTATTTTACGCTAAATTGATATATTGATCTCATATTTGATATCCATATGATGTGATTTGATTATTGTGAATCTACTTTGATTACGGTGCATTACTTGATAATTATATGAATCGACGATCGTTGGATCGTCACCAAAATTCAATACGTTATTGTACGTAATATTTGAGGATCATAGGAACTTACAGATCGGATCTTCCCGAATTGGAATTGTAAGTTCATAAAATAAAATGTTGACCGTCACTTGAATTTGCAATTGGCGGAGATCCAACCGTTGGATCGTAATGAAATTTTAGTATGTTATTCTAGAAGTATAATGTGTATCTTTGAAAGTTACGGATCGGAAATCTGAGATGTGGATCTTCCTGATTGAGTTACGTAGGTTTGTGGAACCTACCATCGATCTTTGATCGACGGTTGACTTTTGGTCAATGGGTCTCAAATCATTCTAGAACGCCCTTAGGGATGTATTTTACGTAAGTTACATGTTTTATCGATAAGAATTCTGAGATGTGATTTGATAATTATTTTAGACGCCGATCGTTCGTGAAGCCTCGATATTCGTGCTAGGGAGTTGTAGCGCAAACTCCAGGTGAGTGGGCTTTTGGTTTTCTATATATACGTATATATGTTTTACATTTTCCCAGAAACTGATCTAAATGGAATTATGTTTTTAAGTGCCATGTCATACTTGCATTTCATTTTTGTATATGCATTAGTATGTGTATGCATAATATTGTATGACGCTGCAGAGGCCAAGTAAGCTTCAAGTGAGTACTGTAGGATAATAGTGGTTGCATTGTTTATGGTTATACATAGATGCATTTAGAGCTTATTATCCTGCACCGCGGTGTTAGTGCTCTCACCCGAGGCGAAGGCACAGCCTTCACGTGATCGTTCACCTCCCGCACCGCACATTCACCTTGGATCCAAGTTTGGTGCCAACCTGTCGTACATACCACATTAGGTAGTTTCGACTCGTAGGTGACCCGCAATTCATTGCGCAGCCTTCACGTGATCGTAGCACTTGAGCGTACTTATTTACACCTAGCTTGTCGTACAGACCACAATAGGTGGTTCCTACTCATGTGCAGGAATTGGTTTATGAGCTATAGATTCAGCCGTACAGGTCATGTTAGGTGACTTTGACTGACATATCATTTTATATTGATTCACAACACCTGGCTTACATATTTATTAATGAGATACTTGACATGGCACATACTTTGGTTTTCATTTCTCTCAAGCCTGATTTCTATATACGTATGTATTGTTATTTTCTAGGAAATTAGACGGGTTTTACAGTGAGTGGTTATTATGTTCAAAAAAGATAAGTTTGTTTTCAAACGTCTTGTTTTTGCCCACTCACTCTTGTTTTTCGCCCTTCCAGGTTTTAGCTGCTGAAAGTTCGTATCGACGAGGATTTTTGGCGAATCTCAGTATAGGTGGCTACCTATGAGGGTTTGATTTTTACCCACACTACTGTACTTTACTTATGCTCTGACGTTGCGTGTGAAATGGGTTCATTCCCGCTCACAACGCACTCTTGTCCTTAGACATTATTAGGTTTAAATTTATTCATATTTTCCACATCACTATACTTTATGGCTTCGTCACCTTCCAGATGTCGGCTAGCACAGCTCCATTCGGAGTCCTAGTGGACATTTCGGGTTGGGGTGTGTCACACATTGCATCTGTTAATCATTTTATAACATTATTGATTAGTATTGAATTTAAGGGTTTGACTTCCTAACGTTTATAACTTTATACAGGGTAAATTACATAAAACTACCTTAAATATTGGGTCAGTCATAGTTTCATACCCCATCTTTAAAAAATATCAATGTCATACCTCATCTTACGAATTTGTTATTCTTCCGTTAAATAGTGACGTGGCTTAAAAAATTAATTAATTATTAAAAACTAAAAAAATAAAATCTTTTTTTTTTGCATGAGGACCCACCCCTTATCCCTCTCACTCTTTCTTCCCTCTCCCGTCTTCCTTAAACCCAAAATCAGGTCCACCCCTGCATCAAACCCCAAAAGCTCCACTTCTTGTGCCTCATATTCAACTTTTGATGATCAACATCAACCCCATTGGTTGATTCCAAAGCTGCATTTTTGTAAACAGGTTCAGAGCCAATCCCAATGCCATCGCCCTCATCCGCACGCTCATCATCTTCAACAGACTTCAACTTCGAATTCGAACCCATCAAACTCATCAATTCTTTCTCTGTAATCAGCAGCTAGGCCCCATAGAACAACTATGAAGTGGCAAAGGAGACTCTCGTATTTGATCCCAACTTCAGCATCAACTTCTGCCATTGTGGATTGATCGAAACTCAGCCGTTTGAAGCTTCGCCACCGCTGCGAATTGTAATTGTCTTTGGTCTGAGCTGAGCTACCTGAACTCCTCTCCCAACTTTCTTCCACAACCGAAACCATCGGGGTCAGCCTCAGGTGGGGGGCTCTCAGACCCAAATACTTGTCCCAAGAAGCTCGAGGCTCGTCCAATGACATCCGACCAAGATCGGGATTCGTATTGCACGATCTTCTCCCTAATGCGTACTTTCCTACTTCGAACTGGGTCTCCCTTCTCTTCTCCGCCACGAAACCCTCGTTCTCAGCCTTCTTCGTCTTCTGCTTCCGCCGCAATTGATTTACCTTTTTGCTCAAAACCGACGTTGTACCCCAAAACCATATCCACCATCACCCTTTCTTTCCCCTCCCGTCTTCCCTAAACCCAAAACTCAAAACCTCGCTGAAGCGCTGTGTTTGGATTAAAACTTGAACTTTGGGCTCAAAGAAGGAGCTGGCCCAAAGGGAGGTCTCGAAGGAGAGATGGCCGAAGCCCAGAAAGCAGAAAAAATGCCATTTCCGACTTGGTGCAGGCCATGTGAACCACTTGCTCACCTACTTTGAAACCAAGTGGTATAGACCAGCCAACTCATCGGCCCAAAAGCACTTTACAGTGGCAGTACAAGTAAATAGCTGATGAGTCACTACCCTTCAAGATACATTCGGGCAGGATTACTGCTACAGGAGGCCAAGCCAAAGTGTCTATAAAAGAAGAAAGAGAAATCAAAGATAAGGACACTCAATCAAACAAACAAATACAAGCACAAATTCTGCTCAAAGCCAAATTTGCCTTCAAACGAAGCTGTAGTCAGCCCAAGCTTTCATCCCTCTCGGGATCAACTTTCACCTAAACCTTTTGTAATAGCTTTGCTACCTCGTCTAAAAAACTTGCTGTAGTATCGATTTCTCTCTGTAAACTCATCTTCTTACCCCTCTTTCTAAGCTTTCAGATCCCTTGATAAACCACAAAGATAGGAATCTGCAAGACGATCAGCTTTGCCCAACAAGGTTAAACCTTGCCTGACCCTCTTTGTTTCTGTCTTTTCATTCATTAAACTAGCAGTATGTTGTATACTTCCAATTGTATTCAAGTTATTTCTAGTAAGATGACGATTAAAAGATACTTTCAGTTCTTGAATCCGATTTGAATATGTCTTCACAGTTCAAATCAGATCTAAGTTCTAAGCTTTCGGGCATGTGAGTTTTAATCATTTAAAAGTCCTTGGCCTCAAGGCATAAAAAAGAACCTTATGTGGACTTAACCCATCCACGACAGTCTTTGATAAACAAGAAGTCCGAAGTTACTTGGGGCGCAAGTAATCGACTTATTCCTTAGTTTTGTCTCTATTATATTATGATTATCATAAAACGTTTGAGTATAGAATGAATTCTAATAGGAAGCCTCAAGGCCTACATCTAAGGCCCCACAAAGGCACCTATTTGGATTCATTCTGCTCTTCGGGCTAGAATGTTTGAGTACGGAATTAATTCTGATAGGAAGCCTCAAGGCCTACATCTAAGGCCTCACAAAGGCACCTATTTGGTTTCTTTCTGCTCTTCAGGCACGATGATCAGAAGTATAACAGTCATAATACTGTGTGCAACAATGGAAGAAACAATATATGTTCGAGTACTGGATTAGTTATTGACTGGAAGCCTCAAGGCCTACACCTAAGGCCCCATAAAGGCACCTGTCATAATTAACACGGTCTCTCGGGCATATATACAAATGAAACTCAACATCCGTTTTACATCTGCCATGCTGAAGATGGCAGTGGCACGCTTGAACACTTAAAAGTTAATCTTAATTGTGAGCCTCAAGGCCTACACCTAAGGCCCCACAAAGGCACATCTCAAAGTTAACTCTATCATTCTCTTTCAGCCTTACCCGATAAGCCCGCTAGTAAAGCAGAAGCCCGACAGAAAGCATCAACCGACGCCAACCTCTCGGGGAGCTGTGTGCTTGTCGGCTAGGGAACATCCCCAGCGGAAATTCTAGCCACGAACATAGTTTTGGCACGCCCGTTGGGATCAATTATTTTGATCTCGCATGTCCAAGAAGAGAAGCCATAAACTTTGCAAGAAGAATACGAAGGACTGTTCTCCTCAACCTTTGCTATAAATGGCAGATCAAGCAGGAAATCCTTCTTCCCCATCAGGACAGGTGGTCCTGGAAAGCCCATCTTCCTCCGGGAAATCAGAAGGAATAGGAACTAATGAAGAATTACAGGCTACAATGATACAAGTATTAAATAGCATAGAAAAAATCTCTTTGGAAACTAAAGTGGAAGTAAGTAGACCGTGTACCTTAACAGGGAATCTACAGAGAAGGTTAGATCTGGAGTTTTCTACTCCAAAAGGTGCTCAGGGAAGTGGGATGAGTCATGTTACCATCAGAAATGAACCAGTTATTCCCCTATTTCCACTATTAGAAGAAGAAAATGGCAAGGGAAAGGAGAAGGTAGTTCTTGAAGGAAGTCAACCGGTGATAAAACCCGTTCTGGAGAAAGAGTTTCCTAGCTTCCCATTATTATCATTTAATAATAGGAGGCAGAGCGAGCAAGAAAGAACGAAGTATGTGATGCCTATAACAACATGAGAGTCCAACGGAAAGGAAAGCTCTATAACTTCAGATAATCTTCTTCCTTATAGGCCACCTCCGTTGGCCAGTAAGGGAGGAGGAGCCCACTGGAGGAAGCCCGAGTCAAAGAAAGAAGCAGGCGCGGGCAATGACCGAAGCCTGAAGAATGAGTCTGCCTTTCTCTTCCAGAATAATAATGCAGCTACTCAACAACTAAGGGAGGAGTTGGCTGAATTAAAAAGGACGGTGGCTCAAAATGCTCAACCACGGGCTCGCCCAGTATTCAGGGTTACTTATCAAAAGCCTTATCCTGAGTATGTTGATGAACAAAATCCATTTCCCCTCAATTTCAAGATGTTGGCATTCCCAACGTTTACAGGTGAAGATAGCAGCGTATCCTCCAGAGACCACATTTTCAAATTCTCCAATCATTGTGTGGCATATGAAGACAACCCAAACTACAAGTTAAGGTTGTTTAGGAATTCATTGGCGGGGTTAGCATCTCAGTGGTACTCTCTATTACCCCCCCCAACTCTATTGCCAACTGGGGGCAAATGGAGATGGCATTCCATGAACAATTTTACATAATAGAGCCAGAATTGACCATCAATGATCTTGTTGAAGTAAAACAATACGATCATGAGTCCATAGAGGATTTCATGATGAGGTTCAGGGAGATAAGGATGAGATGCCAATTTCCTGTTAACCAAGCTCAGCTCATATCAATTGCTCAAAGGGTTTTGAGATTACCGTTGAGGAAAAGATTTTATGATGCACAATTTAACGAGCTACAGGAATTGGTAATTGCTGCTACAAAGTATGAAAAGCTGTTGCTAGAAGAGCAAAAAATGAAGCATACTTCCAAAGCTCATCCCTTCTACAAAAATAAAGCTGCAATTCATCGTGTGGAGGTAGGAGAAATTGGACCAGAGCATGAAGATGGCCATGATAGAGAGGAAGTTGAGGTGTGTGCTGCTGAGATGACCACGCCTTTCAAACCATTGATGGTGAAAAGATTAGTTCAACCCATCAAGGACCAGAAAATTGTGATGAACGATGGAGGCTTCGTCCCTATGAAGCCTCCCAAGTACCAGAGTTATTCGTTTGATCTGGCTAAAGCACCTTAGATTTATGAAGAGCTGGTGCGGGCAAAAGTAATTGTGCCCGACAGTACTAAAAAGATGCCCAAGCCAGAAGAGCTGAGGGGAAAGAAGTATTGTAAGCTACACTATACCTTCAACCATTCTATAACCAATTGTGTTCAGTTCAGAGACTGGATACAAGACCTTATAGTAAAGGGAAAACTGTTACTTGACAAGCCCCAAGCTAGTATGATGGTTGATACGAACCCTTTCCCGGAGACTCCTATCAATATGATCAACTTGATTTGGGCAGAGAAGCCAGGATCATCAGTTGTTACAACAGAGGAATGAGATAAAATCCCAGGTTGTCCCAACACCCCTGTTTAGATAAAGGTACCATAAGGGGGAT